AATCCTATGGTCACGATCGAGCTTTCCCCCTATAAAAGGGCACATTGGCCAACTTGTATAGGTTTTCCACCTCTTTAAAATTCTCTCACTTATAGCTCTAGTTTTCTCTGTGCTCTACAAATATCAACACCCAGACTTTATGTAATATCCCGAGATATTATCAGTATAAATTACGTTTAATTCCGATATAGTAACGTTAGCGTTTATTATTTTCAGAATTAATTAAGTTCAGTCGGATTACCGAAATCTATTTTCGACGTACCGGTTACGTTCGAAATAATTTTGGTAATTAAGTATTATGTTTAATTAGATAATTAAACATAAATAGTGATTAATTAGTAAGTTAATCACACTTAAGTCTTAAATACAGTGAGATATTAGGACAATCTTTCCCAATGTGTAGCATATGACCGTGTGTATATATTAAAGTTCAATGTGCTCATTTTATTTCCTAAGTTCTAAGGAAGGCGATTTCCTCTTCATCTTATGAGCAAGAGTAGCCCATTAACCGTAAGATATGGAGAGTTTGGTCCCAAATTGAGTAGGCCGTGAGCATGATGTTATTAGGCCCAAATTTGGGTAAGTACGGTTTTAAGCTTCCTTTAAGGTTAAGAAAGTGAAATTCTCCCTTCAAATGGTGACACTTGGCAGCTTGAGAAGGTGCTTAGTCACACCAAAAGGTCATAAGAATCAAGCACATGTCAAGAGTGGGAGATGGCCACACCATGTGCACATCATCACCATCCCACACGGCCATGAATATAAAAAGAAGGCCTTAGTCCAATTTTTCCCCATTTTTCCCATAGGAGAGAACATCATCCTCAGCATATAATATTCCTTCCAGCAGCCTTTAGAAATTAAACAAATCTTCCTAAATTTTTATCAAAACCGCACGGCAAACCGAAGCCACCGCACGGAGCCGCGAGTGAAGAAGAGCACGCCATAATTCGTCCAATTCCGTCGAGCGTTCCAGGAGGTAATCTCTTTTTCAGTTAATATTCAGATTCATATGGTCGTGATAAGTTGAAGTGTTCGGATAAATTGCCGGAATTTCCGATTTAATTATGCTTAAGTCCGAACACGCCTAAGTGAGATTATCGCCGAACAAGTTTTATTTTCTTTCGGCAACTCTCGAACAATAATCCTTTTAATGAACATTTAGATTAATTTAAGTTCAGCATGATCAGTTTTGTCGTAGCAAAGTGAAGGAAAGTCGATGACAAGGCCCCAGCCGATGCCCCGCGCCTATCGCACATAAGCATCGAGTGGTTTCGGGCCGAGGCTGTCACCTTCACTTCTAAGCGTGTCTGTTGTGTGAATAGCCCTTAAATAGTTTTAGTTTAATATTCATGCTGAGGTGTTCGGTAGTTGTCGGATGATATGTTGGTTCGGT